ATTGAGATTGGATTGGGATTTGACCAATCAAAGCAAAATTTACTAAACTTGATATTAGTTATTTTTCTTCTGATTGGTCAAATTTCAATTCAATCTCAATCTCAATCGCTAGTGTGATTATGGCTTTATGCAAATCTGTGCTCCCGGCTTTATGCGCGGAGTTGCTGTGGTCGCGGTGCTAGAGTTCCTCTAGTCTAGAGGGACTCTACGCGGTGCCGTATATACACCCGCCGCCATTTGCAATCGCTCACTAAGGACCAGCGCACGGCAGGCACGGCACACGCGGTTGCCGTCCCACGCCGTACGCCGTCCGCCCCTCACAAGAGCCGAGAGCCTAATTCTTTCACGCGGTCTCGCAATGTTGCACACCGAATCCGCTAACCGTTATCCGTCTGCCGCCACTGTCAAATGGCGTGTATAGGGTGTGCGCGGTGACGGTGACGGGTTACGGGTTGCGCGTGTATATGTCATGTGTGTGTAAGTACGTGCGTGCGTGCGTGCGTACATTCGTCCGTGCATTCGCTCGTGCCTTGCGTGGCCTGCGCGGTGCATGCGTGTGCTGTGTGCGTAACCGTATATATCGCGCGTGCTGCGCCGAGTGGCTGAATCGTTACCCCTCCCTGTCATCCTGCTTTCTTTCTCTCTCTCTCTCTCTCTTTCCCCCTTCTCCCCCTCTCTTGCTCACTCCGTCCGTCTTTCCTGCATATCTCTTTCTCATCCCTAACCTAACCTAACCTTCTTTTGCGGCTCGAACGCTCGGCATATTAGATCGTGGCGCACGCGACGAATTATCTTTAATCATCGCCAAATGGGATTCCGCAACGGCCATTTGGAGTAACTTACCGGCACTGTTTCACCGACGGTCAGCGTGTTTAGAAGAAGCCGTCTTGGATCTTTTCTTCCCCCTTCCGCCTGCCTTTGCACCATTCACTTCCGCACAGCCATGGCTTCCTCTAACCGTGGTATCCAGATTGGCTCCGGCTGGTTTCAGACCAAAATTAATCTCAGGCCGCAGCACCGGGGCGTTCACCTCGTCACCGAGGAGATCCTCAGGCAGGTACCTGAACTCTGCCAGTTTTCAATTGGTCTCTGCCACATCCAGAGTGAGTATTCACTAACCTCTTACTAACAGTCTGATCCGTACTACCTTTGTAAATTAACAGACCAGTATCGAGTTTTATTTTCAATACTGATATGTGTTGTTTCGGGATATGTATATATTATAAGAAGGTGCGAATGAAAAATTTTTTGCGACGCGATAAATATTAAATTTGTTCTTTCCCATAGTTCTGCATACCTCAGCTAGTTTAGCATTAAATGAGAGCTGGGATCCAGATGTGAGAGACGATATGGAAATGATGCTTAACAAAATAGTTCCTGAAGGCTTGGAGTATAGGCATAGCTGTGAAGGACCTGATGACATGGTAAGTTGTACGCTTCTTTTTTAATGAATTTTTCTTTGGAAAACTGACGTACTTTGAATATCATTCTCTTTATATTATAATGAATAATCTCACGTAGAGCAGCAAAACTTATAGTAAATAACTATGTGTGATGTCAAGATTGCATTGGCCATAGATCAAATAATGATTTTTAAAACTGTTTTAAATTTTGTCAAAGACAAATTTAAATAAAAACAATTTCGAAAAAAGATAACGTATACTTACTAGCTTATGTTACAAAGACATTAAAAATTAAACAGTTGTAACTTAACTGTTTTTAACCTTTGCTTGAGGTACAATTTTGCCATTGATTTCAATGAAATCTATTTAGTTTTGGTATGTTACATTCAGACATTTTATAACTTTTATCCTAAGTTATAATTTATCAGCAAATATTTTTTTTCTTTTCAAGGGATTTTTCTTTTCAATAGGTAGCATACATTTGAGTAGAAAATTATGTTACCAGTCATGTCATTTTAACGGCAAACAAGAATGTATATAATTATATATATGAAAGTGTAAATGTTATTAACGATTATAAAAAATATTTCATTAGTTTAATTACAATTGATAGTGATCTTATTAGAATTCATGCTATACATATAAAATTGTTATATTTTCAATTACGTCACTTTTAGCTGAGATTATATAGCCAATACGTCCTTGAAGCAAATGCCATTGTCTTCTTTATTCAATATTTTTTAATAATGGTGCAGGTATGTTTAAGCAGGTCATTTAATTAATATAATTGATTTGATTTGTATAGAAATTTTTACAAAAAACTATAAGAGAAAAGGAGATACATTATACTTGACAAAAGCATCTTTAGCATGCTTAAGAGAATCAATTCTGTATCTGTGATTAATGTCGTGAATGGTGATCTAAAAGATTAGTAAGATAATTGAATATTTTACAGCCAGCGCACGTGAAGGCCTGTTTTCTGGGCTCATCGCTGAGCATCCCAATCACCGATGGTAAGCTGGCACTGGGCACATGGCAGGGCATTTGGTTAGGCGAACACCGCGACCATGCTGGCAGCCGCAAGCTGGTTGTGACGTTAACTGGTGTTTTGAGGGACTCGGCGCGCAGTCCTCTCAGCCCGGTCAGCCCTATCGCGTCTACCAGCAGCTAGGACCACTCGCACCCCCGAAGGCGTGGCAAACGTCAGCCGCGCGCGTCCACTTCGAGCGACTCAAGCTAGCAGCCGCTTTAAGCTCTAGTCAACTTCTAAAAGTACAATCTATTGAGAAGGAGTGAGTCAGATACTTCGTGGACTTACCTATCGCTCGGGGATAACCACCGTCAGTAGCGATCAACCGCGTCCTCGACGTTTCGCGTCGATCGTCGAGTGGACAGACCGGGGATCGTGCATCGTTCAAGACATCTGTGTGCGCGTGTATGTGCTTCAGGGTTTTATTTGTGTCTCCAACATCGTTCTGCATGGATATTCTTTTTTATTTGTGTGATAAGTTGTCGGGATTGTTGCAAAAGTCTCCTAGACAGAGAAATCTGCGGAACAATAGGGTTTTCAACTAGGATGCTATCCTTGCAACTTGAGAATTCAGATTTTAAGGGAACTTCTTTAAATTGTCATATTGTAAAAAATTTTGCATTTGACATTCGAAGATACAGGAAGTTGAGATCTTTTAAAATTCTTTCTATTTCGAGGATTTCTTAGAATTCTTTCTATTTCGAGGATTTCTTAGAATCAGAGAATTTGGAAGCTAGAATCTTTGCAATAACTCATAATGCTTCTCTCGTTTCTTCGTTTTTGATATTTTGTTTAGCTCGTGTTGATCACGTCGAACACTCACGACATACAATAATAATAGTAATAATAATAATAATAATAATAATAATTAAAAAAGACAAATGGATATAACGAGATAAAGAGAAATGAAGAAAAAACTGCCACGGGAGGGGGAGGAAACAGATGCGCGCATCGCACGCGTCTCATGTGAACAAAACGAATTAAATGCGAATATCCAACACTTTCGCTTCGCTCTTGAAGAGAAAGGAAAGCGAAAAGCGGGAAAGACACGCAATGAAAGCAACTGAAAAGAAAAAGACAGAGATAATGAAAGAGAAGGGAAACAACAAATTATGCATTCCGGTAACGCGTCCAATACTCCGAATTTACGTAGCTTTATTTAGGAGATTCTTTTATATAAACACAGTTAATGAATATGAGCAGCTGTGTAGGGACTTACACAGTATCCTTTTTTACATACTGCTATCTTTGAGCTGAAAATGAGAAACAAAGGAGAGGGATGTGGAAGGTAAGGTTGATAAACACAAGAGTGAGAGAGTGTAAGATACGTGTTGCGTACTTTCTGAGCCGCTTTAAAAACGATTAGAAGCTAAATTAATCGCTCATGAATAATGATATTTCCATCATATTGAGGGTGTGTATATGTATATAAGGGGAAGGGGCGATGATTCTCTACCTGTGCGCGTTTCCGCTAAAGTATGTTATATCATGGGCACATAGCGCGATTATACATCCTATGTGAATTATAACGCGTGTACAGAGTGCGCAAAAAATTGAGTATAAAAACACCGAAAGAGAAAAAGTTACCGAAAAACTAAGTAATGAAAGTATAAACGACATTTTTTTCTGCGAGTAAGTTTTTTTAATACAATAATTTACAGAGTTCGATCAATCATGAGCTGCAATAAGAGTCATCTCTATCAATGAGTCAAATTGTTAATAATTACTAAAAATTATATATTAATACTATTGTGACAATGAGTCACAGATCATTCTTTAGCAGCTCATGATTTAATTGAATTTTAAATCTTTAAAAATATTTAAAAATTATTACTTGACATTACAAGGTATGTACTTCTTTTTACTTAATTTCTCGCACTTTTCTGCTGAAGTGTCTTTATGCTCGAATTTTATAATACTCTGTATAATTAAAGCAACGTTACTATATACTCGAAGAATCGATTACATCAACGTCAATCACCCTTTTCTTTTATTGTATTACAACAACTATTACCCCGTTAAGGCCACGAAAAGCTTATTTTTGTTTTCTGACATTGAAACATTTGCAAATGGCAAAATTTTATTTTTTTTTTGCGTTACGAGATGCAATTCATTCACATTAATTTAAAGACATTCTTTAATGAAGAATTGGCACAATTTAACTTTTTCGATTACAAAAAAAAACCACTTGTCCTAGGGGTCGCAAGTATGTAAGGCATCGTTTTAAAGGATCCAGCACTGCGAATTGTAACGTTGGATCGTCGCAAAGATAGCGCGGTTTCAGGAGAGTCTTCTTTGAACTTTTGGTCTTTGATCTCTTGGAAATGTGAAAAATTCCAGTCACTTTCAGTCCTCGAGGTTTCGAATCTTTGGACAAGTATGCATGATTCTTGTGTTCTTTTTTTCGTTCCAAAGGTTATTAAAAAGAAAAAGCCGAAGGGGTCTTCGCGACGAACCGACAGAGCTACTTACTTACACTTATACAATGTTATTAACTGATGCTTACTACAAGCTTGCTGCAGCGAACGGGCTGGCAGACAGGCAGAACAGACGTTGTCGTTGTTTAGTCGTTAATCCTCAACGTACATAGGCGTGCAAGAAGAAAAAAAACGCGTCGTCCATTACGTGATTAAATGGACCTATGCTTTAATGTAAAGTACGTCTCTATCTATACAGTTCACATAGCTTAAAAAAAAACATTATCGGAGCTCAAAGTATAATGTAATGTAATGTGATGTAATGGTACACTGTCGAGGTTATCGTACGTGTCGCCCCTTCGAACATAACACAAAACGAGGGCATGGGGGAGACGAGGAGAAGACTCATATGCACAAAAAAAAAGAAAAAAAACGCGTTATCTTCGGTCCTCTCTGCGGTTCCTAGCGCGACCTCATGAATGCGACTTTAGGTTTAACAGCCAGTTCGTGGTTTAAGGCAAAGCGATTAGCGATTTTGATCTGTACACATGCATATTGTAAATAATAACGGTTTATTGAACTCAAAATGAGGATGCGTTCTCGAGATTTTAGGAGATACGTTATATATTCAGCGCGATCTAGGGAGTCACGGATTTTCAATTCGGATTTTATTCGATTTCTTGAGCGTTTTTAACCTCTTTAATTTTTTTATTATATTTCAGAAATTTTTTTGAGAAAATTATATCTTAGAATTTTCTCGCGGTAATTTTTCAAATCCTTGGAATTTAAAATTTTACCAATTTGATTTTTGTGTTCCTAAAATTTTAGATCTTCGTAAATAATTTAGTTAAAATATTTTTAATTCTCTTTGTACAAAAGATTCTTTGGAAATCTTTGTTTCTTGACATTTTTATTCCTTAGATTTTTTTAAAAATCATGGATCATCGGAGGTCAGGCTCCTTTCGATGTGTTGTCAACTATAAAAATTACGATCATTTGTTGTATTTGCCAAAAATGGATTTACCAATGAGAGATAAAAAAATTCATTTCAAGCGTAGGCTTTTGCTTGCGCGCAGCGAACGCGGATCTAATTATAGCAACGCATGCAGGCTCCGTCAGTCCCTCTTTGCACTCTTGCGTAAGTAAAAATATTTTCTACCGTTTAGAAATAAACAACTGTTACAACACAAACGTGTATGGTACTTTTGATATACATATGACATCAATTATTGTCATTTTACATATAAAATATTAAGATAAGATCATCCGAAAGTAAATATATCTTAGAAGATATTTTATAGCAGAATTGGGATAAAATATCTACTAAAATATTCACTGTTTGATGATTTTACATTAATATTTTTATATATGCATAATCCTTTTCTCCTCAAAGTCCTGTGATTTCTTTTATCTTTTTTTTTAAATACAATTAACAGGATTGAGAAAGTTACTTTTAAAAGGTAATTCGTTAGCGTTATTGTTTACTTAAAAAGTAAACGTCGAGTCGTTACACTTAATGAAATCGCACACATGATCAATATAACACTTTCTTTTAAAACAACGTGCTTACGCACGTTACACATTGTACATGTATAAACTAACTAACTAACTATAACGATAACAAATAATTATATTTGTTATCGTTATCCAAAAAATGTAACTGCATTATCTTTATCATTCATTAAAAAATATGTTATTAAAACAATAATTATAATTATAACGACGTTACAACAACGTTAACGCATTACTTCCCAACATCCTGCATATTAATATTATTAAATAATAATATATATAAAACTAATTAAATTGAGAGGAGGCCAATACCGGTCATATGCGAGGTCATATGTCAGGATCTTTGGTGCTTATAATATTTCTGTGTGATTTTACATACATATTCTGGTTTCAACAAACTGCAAGCCGTTACTTTCTGATTCGATGCAGCCTATTCTTTGAAACAGAACTGTATTATCACGTTATTAAATTGATAATCGATTTAATAAATACTGATGCTCATCGGCATCTTATAAAATCCCCCCTCCTCTGCGACATGATTAAATGCTAAGAATATTTGTTGCGAAAAAGATGATCTTACAACCAGGATTTTCAATTTTTCGCAATAAATAATCCTTAGCATTTAATCACGTTGCGGAGTAGAGGGGGGATTTTATTAGATGCCGATGAGCATCAGTATTTGTTAAATTTATTAATTTAATAACGTGATAATACAGTTTCAAACAATGGGCTGCGTTAAATCCGAAAGTAACGGCACGCAGTTTGTTAAAACTAGAATATGTATGTAAAATCATACATAAAAATATTATAAGCATCAAAGATCTTGCCATAATGACCAGTACTGGTCTTCTCTCAATTTAATTTGTGTTATAGACGATCGGAATATATATACATATATATATATCTGTTATACAGATAGATATATATATATATATATATAT